ATTGATTTTCATGACAATTTTAATTGAATTCCTCGAAAGAATTCAATTTTTTAAAACAATTTTAACACATTTCGAAAAAATTCAATTTTTTTCTAAAATTTTAATAAATCCTTCGAAAAAATTCAATTATTTTAAAAAATAGTAAAATTATTCGCAAAAATTCAATTAATTTTATAAATAGTAAAATTCTTTTGCAGAAATTCAATTATTTTCAAAACAATTTTAATTGAATTCTTCGGACGAATTCAAATATTCTTAAATATTTTCATAAATTTCAATTATTTTCTAAAATTTTAATAAATGCTTCGAAAGAATTCAACTATTTTTATAAATAGTAAAATCTTGACAAAAATTCAATTATTTTCAAAATAATTTTAATTGAATTCCTCGGAAGAATTCAATTTTTTTCTAAAATTTTAATAAATCCTTCGAAAAAATTCAATTATTTTAAAAAATAGTAAAATTATTCGCAAAAATTCAATTAATTTTATAAATAGTAAAATTCTTTTGCAGAAATTCAATTATTTTCAAAACAATTTTAATTGAATTCTTCGGACGAATTCAAATATTCTTAAATATTTTCATAAATTTCAATTATTTTCTAAAATTTTAATAAATGCTTCGAAAGAATTCAACTATTTTTATAAATAGTAAAATCTTGACAAAAATTCAATTATTTTCAAAATAATTTTAATTGAATTCCTCGGAAGAATTCAATTTTTTTCTAAAATTTTAATAAACTCTTCGAAAAAATTCAATTATTTTAATAAATAGTAAAATTCTTCGCAAAAATTCAATTAATTTTATAAATAGTAAAATTCTTTGCAGAAAATTATTTTCAAAACAATTTTAATTGAATTCCTCGGAAGAATTCAATGTTTTAAAATATTTTCATAAATTTCAATTATTTCCTAGAAATTTAATAAATTCTTCAAAACAATTCAACTATTTTTAGAAGTACTAAAATTCTTTGCAGGAATTAAATAATTTTTAATCCAATTTACATAAAATTACACGAAAGAATTTAATTATTTTCAGAAATTTCCATAAAATTCAATTTCAACAAGAATATAAAATATTCTCTAAAAATAATTCAATTATTCTCAAAATATTTTTAAAAAATTCTCTATAAAAATTAAATTACTTTCAAAATAATAAGGACGTAAATAAATAATAAGTATACATATAAATAAATAATACAAAATTAATAAATAATAATATATTAATAAATACTTCCTCTATCAGGAAGCAATAATAATAAATTAATATATAATAATATATTAATAAATAATAATTAATAACAAAACAATAAATTTTTTTATAATTATTAATTTACAATGAATGTTTTTTATTGACTTTTTTCTTTCTCTTCGTTTTCTTGTTTCTATTCGATGTTGATAAATTTATATTAATTTTACATTTTCGATAATTAGAAAAAATTATTTTGAGGGATTTTATGAATTTAAATAATAAAATGTTTTCTCTTTGTTTCATGGTGGTTTTTCTGATGTTTTATAACTAACAATTAAAAGATCGAGGTTACGATACTGTTACTTTTGCCACGCTATTTTTTAAATTGATAAATTAACTTCCACTTGAATTTAGATTAAATTTGTTTGCAAATTTAAAAAAGAAAAATCGATGAAAAAAGTTTCAAGTTTTTACGAAGGAATAAATTTTATTATTATTTTAGCATTATAACTGATGTCACCAATTTTATTCGCAATAATAATAATTTTGCAATAAAATGCATAAATAAAAATATTATTTAATAATTTGATTTAATTATTTGATTTAATTAATTAAAAATAAAATTTATTATGAAAAACGATTTTAACAAAAAACAAATGATAATAATTATAATTTATAATTATTTAAACAATAATGTAATAATAATACAATAATAATATTAATAATAGTAGTAATAATAATAATAATAATTTAATAATAAAATAAATAATACAAATTCTAATGTTGGGGAAAAAATAAATCTTCACCCCCTTTCTCTCAATAGGGGTGCATTCATTTCTTAATTTGTTTCTTTTTGTTTGTTCATCTGTTTTATATTGATCTATAATTGTGCCACTGCGTGAAGATACTTAATTTCGTATTTCGTATGTAATTAAACTCCATAAGTTTTCTTCTAAAAATTCATTAATGGATTGAGATAAAAGTTAATCCTTTGGGAAAATAAATTATTCTTGAAACCGTGACATATATTTTAGTATTTTTTGTTGTTGAATTTTTAAGAGAAAAAAAAGAAGTAAATATCAAAATTTAAAAATTAAATCTAAATTTTTTTTTTACTTTTTAATAAATGAAATTTATTTTATTATTAAAAGAACAAAATCTATTCGAATAATGAAAATAGCAGCAATAATGATAAGAATGAGAATAATACTAATATTAAAGATAATAACAAAATAAAAATAATAAAAATAATAAAAATAAATAATAATAATAATAATAATAATAATAATAAAAATAATAATAGAAATAATTGTGATAAAATGATAATAATACTGCACAGTAATAATTATATTATTAAGTCTTGATAATATGTTGAAGTATAATAATAAAATTTAATATAATTGTTGAGGAGAAAAATATTTTTGAAAAAAAAAGAAAATAATTAATTTGTGTTCGTGTACGATATCAGTAGGCAATTTACATCGTTAGAAGTGCAGTGTAGATATAGCGAGTGAGTGGGGAAATTAAACTCGTTGACGCGACGTAGAAATACAAATCGAGTGAGGGGAAATTAGTTTGCTAAAACTTTATATTTGTTGGTTAAAGTCACTTGACGACAGGGACAACTGCCCAATTCGATTCAACGGAGCGTGAGATGACTGTGGTATTGCTGCACAAATGCGTGACGGTATACCTACTCTTAAACCGCACACTGCCACTTTCATTTCCCATATTTTATTAAATTGCAAATAAAAAGCACAGTTTACAAAAAGAAAAAAAAATATTTTTCCATTATTTTCAAATTTTTATTTTATCCAATACGACCCTACTTATTTATATATTTTTAAGTAAAACTGAGTGAATAAAAAAACTTTTATTTTTTATTATTTTATTCATTTTTCTTCTATTCATTCTTCTTTTATTTTTATTATTTTATTTATTTTTCTTTTTTTAATTTTCATTTTATTTTATTTTATTAACTACTACAGGGCTCGAACTAGGTCCGTAAATTCCGTAAAGGTCCGTAAATTTGCTTCAAGTCCTTAAAAGTCAGCAGTTTTTTTGAAAAAAGGTCCGTAAAGTCCATAATTTGATTGAAAAAGGACGAAAAGTTCGTAAATTGTACGATATAATTTGGAGAATTTTAGAGAAATTACAAATGATTGCAGAAATTCAATTATTTTCAAAAGTAATAAAATTCTACGCAAAAATTCAATTATTTAAAAAAAATTTTTAAATTCTAGTCAAAATTTCAATTATTTTTTTGTAAATAATAAAATTATTCTCTGAAATTCATTTATTTACAAAAAAAAAATTTAATTAAATTCTTGGCAAAATTTCAATTATTTTCAAAGTTTTCCTAAATTCAATGATTTTTAATATCTACTATTTTAATTAAACTTTCCAAAAGAATTTAATTATTTAAAAAGAATTTAATAAAATTCAACGCAAACATTTAATTATTTTCAAAATAAAAAAACTTTTACAGGAATTCAATTATTTACAAATTTTTTTTTTTTAATTTCTTCGCAATAATTCAATTATTTTCATAAATAATAAAATTTTTACAGGGATTCAATTCTTTTTAGGAATCAATTTTTTTCAAAAATAATAAAACTCATTGCAGAATTTCAATTATTTTTAATAGAATTTTAATCGAATTCTTCGAAAAAAGTAATTATTTTTAAAAATTTTATTTAAATTCGTCAAAAGAATTCAATTATTTAAAAGTTTGTTAATTAAATTCTTTATGGGAATACAATTTTAAGAAACATTCAAATATTCAATAAATTATTTTTTTTGTATTTAAATAATTGAATTCTAGTAGAATTTTCTATTAAAAATTGATTTAAAAATGAATCTCTGTTGAAAACAAATGAATTTGAAAATTTTTTAAAACCTTTTACAAAAATTATTATTTATAAAAACTAGCAAATGTTACGCGCGGAACGAGATGTTCAATTTATTATTATTGATATGCAAAATAAAATTTTTTTTATTTTCAAATATAAATTTTTTAAATAATTTCATAATCAAAATTTAAAAAATTCACTTATTAAGTACAAAATTAATTATTACTGTTCATATTTTCAAAAATGTTAATAAAATTTCACGAAAGAATTCAATTATTTTCTAACATTTTAATAAATCCTTCTAAAATATTCAATTATTTTTTTAAATATATAGTAAAATCTTTACAAAAATTCAATTATTTTCAAAACAATTTTATTTGAATTCTTCGGACGAATTAAAATATTTTTAAATATTTTCATAAACAATCAATTATTTTCGAAACAACTTTAATTGAATTTCTCGAAAAAATTTTATTATTTTCAAGTATTCAATTATTTTTATAAATAGTAAAATTCTTCGCAATAATTCAATTATTTTTATAAATATAGTAAAATCCTTTGGAGAAATTCAATTATTTAAAAATTTGTTTATAAAATTCTTTATGAGAATTGAATTTGAAGAAACATTTAATTATTGAATAAATAATTTATTTTTATATATAAATAATTGAATTCTCGTAGAATTTTCTAATAAAAATTGATTTAAAAATGAATTTCAGTTAAAATTTTATATATATACTTTATTTACTCTCCCTGCTTACTTATGCAGGGTTCGAGGAACCATGATACAAAAATTCTTAACCTAATATACAATCTCTTAACCTAATATAATTGCTTAACCTAATACAACAATCTTATTTCCTAATTATTCGCCAGTGCCGGGCTTCCGTTTCCCGTTCCATTTGGCTTCGTCAATTTTTAAAACTTATTTTTAATTCGTTCCCACCCTCTTTATTTTTAATTTATTTTACTATTTGTTCTCATTTGTTCCAATTCATTCATCCAGTTCTCACCTTGCCCATTCTCATCCAGTATCCATCTTATCCTTTCATCCACACCCTTTTCATTCTCTCCACCACTTGTACATCTATCCAACACATGTTCCCAATCCTCCAACTCAAAACCACACACCCTACACAATCTCTCACTCTCACCCATCCAATACTTACATTCAAGCATTCCTTCTCCCATTCTAAACCTTATCATTCTGTTCCATCTCTCCTCCTTTTTTCTTTTTAAATATTGAGGTATATCACTTCCCCTTACCAACCTGTACCACCTATTATATTTCGAATTCATTATTCTTTCCCACCTCTCTTCCTTATCTTTTTCTTTCCACCCCTCTCTCGCTTCTGTCCATTTTCTATCTCCCCCGATCCCTTCTTTAATTGCCTCCATTCTTTTAATCTCCCACCTTGACATTTCCTTCCTTCCCTTCAGCTCTCTTTCTTTCACTTGCAACCAGCACCTTCGAGTCCAACTACACCCTCCACCCTGTCTTAACTTTTCCTCAAAACTCCACGCTCTGATTCTCTGTCTCACTCTCATTTTCTCTCTCCCAACTTCCTCTCTTAACATGTACCCTGGACAGTTTCCACTCACACCCATAACCCATCTCAAATATTTTTCATGCATACTTTCTACTTTTTCCATTTCCATCCATCCCCATACTTCCACACCATAACTCACCACCGACCATACCAACGTATCATACAACCACAATCTCTTTTTCCAGTCGTTTTTAAACCTTCTCTTACCTATTCCCCACACCTGACCCATTATCTTATTCGCTCTTTCCACTCTTCTACTTACATTCAACTCATGCCCTCCACCATAATGAAACCAAAAACCCAAATAACAAAATTCATCCACTTCTTCAGCCACTCTTCCATTCAATCTCCATTCATTCTGCTTTCCGTCTTTTTTCTTCATAAATCTCATCACCTTAGTTTTTTCCACATTTATCCATAAATCTTTCTCTCTCACATACTTTTCAAATTCCTTAATTAATAACCTCATTCCTGACTCATTCTCGCACATCAATACCACATCATCCGCGTAAGCAAGTGAGTAAATTCTACCATTACCCAAAATTATCCCCCCTTTTCCTCTTCGTTTCAACTTCTCCTCCAAATCCGCCATTAACAAACTGAAAAGAACAGGGCTTAGAGGGCAACCCTGCATGAGACCTCTACCCAGCCAGAACTCTTCCCCAATTGTTTCTCCTATTCTAACCTGCGCCCTCACATCCGTATACATTTCTTTAATCCTTTCTACAATCCCATCTTTAATCCCTCTTTCCTTTAGTGATCTCCACAAAATACTCCTGTTCACAGACGGAAACGCAGCCTTAAAATCTACGAAAAGAGCTATTAATTTGCCCGCCTTCTCCCGCAGTTTTCTATTTACTAAGTAATTGAGGGTATATATATGGTCCATGGTGCCCATACCCTTCCTGAACCCAGCCTGATTGTGTGGAATACCTCCTTTTTCCTCAACTTCTTTTTCCAATCTTTTTCTGAGTACCTCCGCATATACCTTATAACTCACTGGCATTAAGGTAATGCCTCTGTACTCCTCTATTTTCTCTCCTTCCCCTTTTTTGACCAGCGGTACAATCAGGCCCGTTTTCCATTCCTCCGGCCATCCATTTCCTTTCCACACTTCGTTGACTACTTCCCATATCACCCTTCTCACCTTTTCTCCCCCATATTTTATACCCTCTCCCTCCATCTCATCTTTTCCCACCGCCTTATTCCTCTTCAGCTTGTCTATCGCATCATCCACTTCTTCCCTTGTCACCTCTTCCACATCATCCTCTCTCAACATTCTTCTTCCTTCCCCTCTCACTTTGTATCCCGTTCCCCCACTCATGTCCATGAAATACCTAGTCCACTCCTCTATTTTAATCTTCCTATTTATAGGTTTCCCCTTCTTCCTTTCTTTGTTTATTACCTCCCATTCTTTACCTTCTTGCACTGCTTTTTCAACTTCCTCCATAAACCTTTTCTTCTCCATTTCTCTTTTTTCTTTTAATAATTTCTCGTGATCTTTGTGTCTCCTGTTGTATTCTTTTTTTTCCATTCCACCGTTCCTCCATTCTTTTATGTATCCTTTCATTCTTTTCCTACTCTCTTCACATTCATTGTCCCACCATTTTCTATATCCTAACTCTTGTACTTCTACATCCCCCATTTCTTTTTTCACCTTATCAATCTTGTCTCTTATTTTTATTATTTTATTATCCACTCCCTCTTCATCCTCCCACTCTTCCATTTCTCTCCGCATTTTTTCCTGAAATTCGCTTAGCCTCTTCACATTCCATTTACCCATTTTAATTTTCTTTTGTTTCCTAACCCCTTTGTACATTCCACTTCTTCCATTCCTATTCCCACCCCTTAATTCTACCACCAAAGGAAAATGGTCAGACCCTATTTCTCTACCTATTTTCATTTTAATGATTTCATCCCTACCCTTATCATCTGTCAACACGTAATCTATAACGGTATCTCCTTTTCCTCTATAGGTGAAATTTCCTTCTTCGTCTCCTCTCATATTTCCATTGGCAATGGACCATCCTTCTTCTTCCAACAATTGTAGAAGTCTCCTACCCTCCTCATCCACTTTCTTATGCCTGGACACTCTACTATATTTTTCCAGCTCTTCATCCCACAAACCACCCCCCAATTCCCCGGTCCATGCATTTAAATCCCCCCCAATTATTACCTTCTTATCCTTTCCTTTTTCCATCCAATCTTTAATTATTCCCCATCCCTTTTCTTCACCCCTTCTTCTATAAATTCCCACTATATCTATCGTTTCTCTACCTCTTTTAATACTTCTCACTATACAATCTTCGTCTACAATCGTGCAATCCTTTCTTACTTCCTTAACCTCTTTTCTTACCCCTGAAATAATTCCTCCTGATCCTCTTCCTCTTTGTCCATCTCTCTTCGCTTCCTGCATTTTCCATCTGTACCCTTTTGGTAATATCCTTTCTATTTTCTTCAAATCTTTCTTTTCCACCCACGTCTCGCTAAGAAACAACACGTCCCATTTCTCTATTGTTCTCCAAAATCCTTCGTCTTTATTTTTAATGCCACCTACGTTCCAAAACCCGACTTTTATTCCTGCTTTCTGTGATCTTCCCCAACTGCCCCCTCTTCCTTCCGAAAAACCTGCCCTCTGTTTCTTCTATTCCTTTCCTGCGATACGTTTCTTTCTCTTCTCCGTTCCTCCTCCACCACCTCTCCAGTTGTATCACAGACCACCCACTTAATGCCATTAACCCACAAACACTCTCTTCCCCGTTTAACTTCACTTCCCTTTACCCTCTCTTCCCATTTTTTCTGTTCTAATTTCCTTGAAATCACCCTCTCTTTCCACGTTTTGTCCTCCTCTATAATTTCTTTCCTACCTTTCAGTTTATATTTTGCCGAGATCACCTCCATTTTTTGCTCTTCATTCTCCAGTTGCACAATCCACACTTTCGGTTTCTCTTTATCCTCCCCTCCTACCCCATTCAATCCTATAATTTTTACATCCGTTCCTATGTCCTCTAGCACTTTTTGTATAGCATTTCTTCCTTCTCTTCTTACCACATTCATTCCTTTAATCACAATATTATTTTTTCTCTTCTCTTTTTCTGTCCTCTCCATCCATCTTGAAACCTCACTCATTTTTTCTTCCAGTACCAATGCTTCCTGATTTTTTATACCTCCTTCTGTCTCTGCCTCTAGTTTAGTAACCCTCTTTCTTAGTTCCCCTATTATTTCTCTTGACTCTCTCACTTCCTCTTTTACCATATTTAATTCCACTTCCATTTCTACTTCTATATCTTTCTGCCCTTTTTCTAATTTTTCTAACTTTTCGTACATTTTCTCCTTCTCTTCACTCCATTTTCTTTCCCATTCTTCACACATTTTCTTGACTTTACCTATTTCACTACTTAATCCTTCAGAGACACTGTCCATTTTTTTGTCCAGATTTTTATTAATTTTTTCCATACAGATATTCGTATTTTCCCCCATTTTCTTTATTAATTCCTCTAAATCACCTAACTCTCTAACTTCTTTTTTAACTTTACTTTCTCTTTTCTTGTCTAATTCTTGTTTCTCTTTGTTTTTATTAGAATCTTTTCCTCCTGAACTCTCCTTTATAGCAAATTTTTCCATCATTTCAGACGAAGATCCTGCACCCTTTAATCGCTGCGTTCTTTCAAAATTAGTCAACCTTCCTGGTTTCGAATTCGCATTAGATTCGCCTGGCACCACATCATCTATCAACGATAAACTTCTGACTACTTTCGGGTTCCCCTCACGCCCCTTCACCGTTTCTTTTTCCTTCAACGACTCGATTAGTTCCCTTTCTCCCTGATCCACTACTGTCTCTCCCCGCTCTCCCCTATCATTCTTCTTCGTTCGCTCATCGTCTAAACCCCCCTGCCCTTTCCCCTTTACCGGCGATCTAGTCGTCATATTTCTCCGTCTCCCACGTGATTATACCTCGTGATCTCCACCTTCCTCTAATCTCTCTCTCACCCCCGTACACCTGTCACACTCACTCACCACGTTCTAAAACTAACCCACAAATTCGTTCTTTTCTTTCTTACCTTTCTAAACTATCACACCACACTTTTCATCCAAACTTTTTCATACACTTAACACACAATTCTTTCTTTAACACTTTTATACACTCCAAATTATCCAACCCTTAATTATAACCGTTTAAATTGGTTAAAAAACTTCACAAATCCCACACGCGACTAAACTGTATCGGTACCGGAAACGGAAGCCCTTAAAATTTTATATAATAATTGAATACTAAAAGAAATATTGCATATATTTTTAGAAATAATTGAATTTTGAAATTAATTTTTTTGAAAAAGTTTAAAAAAAAAGTTAACTGAATTTTTTTATATTATTAGAAGTTTTTATTTTCTAATATATATATATTTATTTAAAAAATTTACGAATAATTGAAATTCGTAAAATTGAATATTGTATACAAATGAATTTGAAAATTGTCGTAAAGAACTTTTTTCGAAAATGAATTGATTTAAAGAAGAATTTTAGTTAAAAATTATCATTGTAATTGTAGTTTTTTATTATAAGTAGGTATATAAATTAAAAATGATAAAATAAATTAATAAATAAATAAAAATTAAGTTAAAAAAAATAAATAGAAGAAAAAAAATGTTAAATAAATAAAACAAGTGCGAGTTGTACTCGCACTGCAATGGCGGGTTCCGTACACAAATATTAAAACAATACTTGCAACATTTATCGGTAATTGGTAGAATTAAAATAAACAATTAAAAAAATATATTAAAATCATTTGATAAAAAAGAATAACTAAAAAAAATTAAAGTATTGTATATATCTAATATTGTAAACAATAATAAGCAGAGAAACTATAATTTTGAAAATTTTGTTCCTCTGCTTATTATTGTTTACAATATTAGATATACAATACTTTAATTTTTTTTAGTTATTTCTTCTTATCAAATGATTTTAATATATTTTTTTAATTGTTTATTTTAATTCTACCAATTACCGATCAATGTTGCAAGTATTGTTTTAATATTTGTGTGCGGAACCCGCCATTGCAGTGCGAGTACAACTCGCACTTGTCCAATTTTTTTTTATTTTTAGTTAAGAAATTAAAGTCAGAAAACAATCTCTCATTTATTCTCTTAAAATTTCACTCTTCCTTAAAATATTTAATGCCACGTGTTGAAACTAAAAAAAATTAAAAAAAATTTTTTTTTTGAAAAAAAAAATTAAAAAACAATTTTTTTTGATTTTTTTTCAGAAAGTTTCTTAAATAAATTTTTTGTCGTCAGACTGTAATAATACACTAGGATACCAATTTTCAGGTCATTAGGTCAAATAATGTAAAAGTTAGGGAAAACAAATTTTTTTTTTTAATTTTTTAGTTTTTCCTTGACAACGCTATGGCCATCATTACATATCAAGTTCTCTATATTTTTCCTGTAATATTCGAGTAAAAATACACCAGCATGCAAAATTTCAGCTCTCCATGTCGAATAGTTTAGAAGTTAAGGGGGGGGGGGGAATGGCCACTTTTTATGCATTTTTGGCCAAAAATCTTGTTATTTCCTTGACAACGCTATGACCATCACGTCCAATCACATTCGCTATATTTTTCCTGTAATCTACGAGTGAAAATACATATCTGGACCAAATTTGAGCTCTTTAGGTCAAATAGTTTAGCCGCTAGAGGGGGGGGACACGATTTGGCTACGGACAACAGAGTCTCACCAATAGGGTTCCGCCGATACACCGTAGGTGTACGGAACCCTAAAAAGGGAAAAATAGTAAATAAAATTTTAGTACTTATTATTTTATAAACAAATATTTTGAACTTTTGGAGAAAAATTATAATTTGACATAAAATATTTTTATTCAAAATTTTCAATGATTTCTGCTTCAATTTCCGTAAAGCCGGATTAATGATTTCTCCTAACAATAATTGTTGGATATTGTAACAAGCTGCACTGAATTATTCATTAGTTTATCATTACTCCAGTTGTGTAATCGAGTTTCCACTAATAATCTGTACCTTGGGAGGTGCATTACAATAATTGTTCGTTGCTTCGATTTTCTCCTCACGTTCGTATTTTTTATATTATTATTATTATTATTAATCTTACTATTCGGATTTGTTGATTCAAAAAAAAATTTGGTTTATTTAGTATTAATTTTACTACCAAAATAATAATACTAATAATAATACAATTTTTTAATTTAATAAAATTAAAATAATTGTTAATAACTAATTAATTATTATTATTATTATTATTATTTGTTTTATTTTTATAATAATAATTATTATTTTTTCGAATAAGTATAAATTGTGAGTTAAAGATTTAAATAAAATATTCCAACAATAAATATATGAAAAGTATATTGAAAAAAATTTAATGAAGGAAATTTAATAAGTGTCAATTCTCAGAAATTATTATATATTAAACACTTGAGAATTAACGGTCAATTGAATTAGTATGTCCTACATCATTCCATTTCTAATCGACTATCGAAAAATTTGAACTTTTTTTAAGGGTCAATTGTTAATTATCAACTTTTTTATTCAATTATTTGTCAATTTATTTCAATTTATTTCATCGAAAGTTAAATTTTTTGGAAACGATCTAAGAAAATTTGTGTCACTTAGGCATAATAACGCAGTGGTTGTTCAATAAAAATATTTTTTTTTTATAGAAATATGGTTTTTATATTGAGAGTCGAGAATTGATGGAACTAATTAAACTAGTCGTAGTTTTATATATTAAAGAAAAATGGAAAATCTATAAAAAAAATAAAAATATAATTTTTATTTATTACTTTGCTTCTTCTGTGAATTAATTTTTCACTCGTGTAAAGAATAATTAGAAAAATAATTTTTTATAAAAATGAAAAATCCGATGTTTTATTTTAGTAATTAATATATTCTTGAGGGAAATCGTCCTTTATTTTCCGTATTCGAGAATCGTAGGAAAGCATTTTAGGATAATTATTGTGGTTTCAGGAAAATTTACAATGCGGTCGTAACGACTGGATATTTATTTTAATTAGAGCATATTATGTATATATATATGTAGAGGGAGATTTTCGTATTTACAGAAGCTTACTGTTAACTTTTGTCAGTGTAAAAGAAAAAAAAAGATTGAAAATATAATAAAAGAGAGGTAAAAGGTTCGCACAGTTGAAGCTCGAGCTTTAGACCACAATTCTGAGTTTTGCGCCAACAAGCGTGACCTAGAGAAAGTTATAATTGAATTAGAATGTTCGTGGTTGAACCCGCTAAATCCAGTCAAGCGGCTCGGCTTGCAGTCCTTAACCCTAGAAAGTTTATCAGGATAGTTGAGAAGTGAGCATAAGTGAATTACAATTTTCTTGAAAGTTAAAAAGCGATCTGTTTCTCATATTAAAAAAAAAAAAAAA